CAGAAATCCTCAGAGGGACTCATCAGTGCCTCAGGCCTGCTGGAGGCGTTTAACTACCCATCTGGAGGCTTCCGTGTCTCTAGACAATTATTTCACAACGAGGAAGAAAATATATTGCCTGAGGTTTTCAATGAGAATCAAATTCACTGGAGTCCATCAACATATCAGAGGACCTGTGGACACCGCCACAGGCGGCAGAACTTTGATCTCAGAGGGCTGCGCCCCCTACATTAGACAGCATGTAGACGTGAGCAAAACTCCTGTATTCCAGATGACAGCAGGTTCCACCTCTGAAACTGACTTGCTCAGTATTTATTGATAAGAATAGACTTTTCTCATAGGGGAGAAATTAAGAAAAACTGCTCACTAGAGATATATATTTTAAATGTATACACATTGCACTGCATTCATCAAACTATTTAACTCTTTTGACTTAGGAAGATTTGTGTCTATTTTACAGGGATGGTCTCAAAATTGACTTTAACTGGCTTCACTGAGCAGGTTAATATACTTCAAATAGATCGTGCTGTTTTATTTATAAAGGAAATGTGTAAACTAGTTTTGAATCATGGCGCCATCACCTAACAGCTGTGCTACCATGGACACGTTACTTAACTTTTCTAAGCCTGAATTTCCTCATTTATAAAATGAGCGACATTTTTTACAGTAAATCTTCCTTCTTCACTTGTGCAGATGAGTATGGTCAATTCCCACGGACACATACACAACAAATGGCCAGGCTCGTAGAATACAACAAGGATAAGGGAAAGCAACCCTGTCTTGCTGCGATCTTGAAGCCAGCTGTCACCTGTTATCCTCTCGGACCCCTGGGACCCTGTGTGTCCCGCCCCTAGCTTCTACATACCACACGTGTGACTCTTTTTCATAGGCAGACTTCGGACCAGAATAGCATTATCTGACCTAGCAGAGGGCAAAGAGTGCCTGAGAATTTATGTCTCTCCTGCCACCCCCACCTACCAGCACCCCCATCTACCCACTGTCCCTTACCCTGTGACTGACTAACCAGTGTGCAAGGATGCAAAAACCTCTCCTGCTTTAGGTTGGGCTAATGCTGAGGCATAAAGTATACTTCAGAGCTCTTTTGCAGAATCAAGATGAAGCTGCCGTCAATGGCATATTGTCTGAAATCATACCCTGTCCTAGCTTCTTATCAATTACCCTGAAAGCACTTCTGTAACAAGTCACTGTATCCAAACCTATGACCCTACCTATTCTCACATTCTGACTCTTCAACCTCCATTCCTGGGCCTTAGCTGTCCACCTAGTTCATTCATTCATTCATTCCTTATCAAATACCAGCTCAGAACCTACTCTGGGCAAAGCATTATTTCTCATTTATACAGTAGAGTTAACATTCTGCCCTTTCTCCAGTCCCCTCCACCTTTCGTTTCTCTCTTCTGGAGGTCCCAACACTCGACTGTGTACTCTAAAAGGAAGAAAGGGAGAAGAGGAAAAGAGAAGAAAGAAAAGGAAGAGAAGAAAGGTTTGGAGGTAACTGGGTTCAAGCAGTAGATCTTAGGAACACACACCACACAGCATCAGCTCAGTCTCATCCTCTCACCTGTGGTAAAGTACAAATTAGGACCAGGACGCGGTCAATTTCTTTTAAGTTGTTAAGACATTCCTAATGCAACGCTCAGTCACTGTTGAGGCTAAAACAAAGTTGGCCTTTGGTACCTCCTCACCTGTCAATTTTCAGCCCCACTTTCACTTAATGGCACAGTCTCTTCACCATCTAACCAACACTGCGAGGGCATTTTACTGAATGAAGGAGACAGAAAGTCCGGCAAAGATATGACAAGGTTTCTGGATCCCCTGAGCTTCTTACAGAAATCTTGAAGTATTTTAAAAGGATTTCCCTGCATTATGCTAAGTGAAATAAGTCAGGAAAAGACAAATAAATACCATATAATCTGACTTATATATGATATATGGAATCTAAAAATGAAACAAAACACAAAAGCACCAAGCTCATAGGTACAGAGCACAGACTGGCAGTTGCCACAGGGGGAGGGCGGGTTAAATGGGGGAAGATGGTCAAAATCACCAACTTCCAGTTACTGAATAAATAAATCTTGGGACATAATGTAGGGAATGAATGACTATGGTAACGAGACTGCACCGCATAACTGAAAGTTGCTAAGGGAGTAGATCTTAAAAGTTGTTATCACAAGGAAAATATTTTGTGTGTAATTATATATGGTAACAGTTTTGTGGTGATTATTCCACAACATATATAAATATCAAGGCCATATATATGGCCTCCTTACTGAGAAGAAAATATGTGTATATTCCTCTCAATAATAGAAAAGGATTACCCTGGTCTACTATTTCAGAAACTCATTATGTTTCTCAATGGGGAGAAAACAGACTTTTTTAATACAAATTTTTTTAATGGTGGTTGCAAATGAACACCATTCTGTAAATAAATTCTCACTTGTCAGGATAAAAAATGTTGCTTTGTAGTTCCATTATGTTGCCATTTTTGAGTGAGTACCCACTGTAATTCGGGGTTTAAAGTTTCCAAAGGAACACACTTCCAAGTCCTAACATATGGTGCATAATATCAGCATGTTGTTCATCTGGTTATGGATTTTTCCATTGTGCCAAGTATGTCTTGAAAAGGGGAGGGAGGCAACCTGCATTTAATAACTACTGTGTGCCCAGGACTGTGCTAAGTATTTTACCTGTGTTTTGAATCAAGGATTGTAGTGTTTGGAGGAGTGGACTCTAAACCAGTCAGACTGCCTGGCACTGAGCTTCGGTTCTGCACATTGCATGTGTTACTTACCCTCTCTGTTCCCACAGTCCTCTCGTGTGTGAGATGGTACAGAAATAACACTACCCACTTCACAGTTTTAGTGGTGACTACATGAGATAATGCAGGTAGAGCATTTACTACTGCTAATTATAGATTCCAGTGCTTGTTCTGTTTTGAAAAATTATCTATTAGTTCTTTTTCTAATTGTTATATCTTTCAATAGTCCTCAAATTACAAATTCCTTATGTTACAAAACATCTGTTTTCTGGACGAGCCTAAGAAAAATATGATAAATGCATGATGGTGATGTTCTGAGGCTGAAACAGTTAGCCCATAATATAGAGAAAATATTACATATTTATATGTTAAAAGAATAGCATGACCTCCAAGTTTTTAAAGTAAGAGGTTGATACAGAGGGACCCTTCCTATCAGTAGACTATTCATATGTCATTTGCATTCATTTGCTAGGGCTGCCAGTATAGGCCGCCACGGACTGGGGGCTCTAACCGCAGAAGTCTGTTGCCTCACAGTCTGGAGGATGGAAGACGCAGCCCAGAGCAAGGTGTCCATGGGGTTGGCTTCTTCTGAGGCCTCTCTTGTGTGGCTCGTGGATAGCCATCTTTTCCCTGTGTCTTCACATAGTCTTCCTCCTGCACCTACATTCTGATTTCCTCTTTTTTTAAGAATGTAAGTCATATTGGGATAGGGCCCACCCTAAAGACCTCATTTTGACTTAGTTACCTCTTTAAAGACCTATCTCCAAATATACTCATATTCTGAGGTAAAGGGGTTTAGCAGTTCGACATATGAATTTTGAGGTGTCCACAATTCAGATCCTAATATCCATTATTTGTAATGTCAGTGGCACCAGCTCTAGCCAATCACCACTTTTTTAATTTTATACATCTCTTGTATAGTTATTCCCATTCACCTCCTTTCTGGAAAAGGGGCCTACAAGTTTTAGAGTGAACCGAAGCTGAGCTTAAATCCGGGAGCAAGCGAAAACACAGCAACCCTACCATGTCTAGAATGCATGAGCTGCCAGAGAAGGAGTAGTAGGAGCTGGGACAACAGCGATGATGAACTCATTCACTGAAGTGATTAGCAATTTGTTCACTCTGATTTGTTTCAATGGATCTGCGATGTACATGTCATTTGTCTCAATCACTTGCTTAGTTTTCATACACTCTAGTTTCTGAAAACCGAAGAACAAAGTGCTACATTGTCTTACAGAAAAGCAGAACCCCTGTGAGACTCGATCAATCATGACAAGTGAGGACTAGCGCAAAGAGCCTGGCTTTTTAAATGATGTTTTCCTCAGTGGAGGTGTAAGGAGTTGCCAGGCGGAATCTGCTTGCCACAGGACAGCTGGAAGTAGATGTAATGTTGAAATTTTTCACTGAGTGACTCCACTTATGGTGCAATTTACTGTGTCTCACAAGAAGTTTGTATACAAAGCAACTTCTCCTCCATTAAGACTTAACAGTCTAGCTGTGGGGAGAAGAAAACTCATGAAACCAGGCAACCTAAGCTGAAAAGTCTTTCAACACTTCAGGCACGACTCCATTCTCTTCACTTACAATTAAGTGAATTAAATTATTTTTGCTAGTCTCAACAGAAGCAAGACTCTCTTAGATTCCGAGTTAAGATTGTTACTCATTTTTTTGTGGGAGCAGGGGCTTGATTCTACAAACTGAAATACTTTAGGAAGTCTTTTACTATGTCAGAATAAGTCCTGTTTTTCTATCTCTCAGCTTGCAATTATTTATTTGCATAATCGTTAAGTAGGTATAAACACCTTATTTACACAAGGCAGAAGCAACGTTTATGAAAACAAATCAAGCCAAAGCTTAGTAAGCAGTTAATACCTTCCCCCGCACCCAGAGAATTCAAGCTATTCTGGGCCAATAATTTGAATTAGTACCTATCCAATTATTACCAGATTTCATTAAAGTAAAAATTATAGTAATGTACATATAAGGTTGATATTTTAGTTGTTAAACTGTGCTAATGCTCCTGAGATTCAAATTTGGGGCAATAAAACAATGCAATAACACTGGATTTAGGCTTGTTTTCAATATTCCAGAAGCTTCTTTCATATTTTCACACTACTAACGGGCTAAATTTCTCAACTGACTTAATTCTACACAACCTCAGAACGAAACTTTCTGTTTTTGTCTTTTTTTTAATTCCAAAACCCAAGTTCCCATTCTTTACCACCGCCAAGGGTGCCTGGATGGCCGTCTCCAGCTCCCTCCTCACAAGAGGCCTCTGCTGGGGACCGTGGATGTGCTGCTTGGGCATCGGCTCTTTAGTTGGTGCTTCAACGGATCCGCCATAGCTCACAAATAATCGCTGAGGTAAAACAGCATGATCTCTTAGTGCCTGAGAGATTTTTGTTATGTTTTAGGGAAAAATGTCAAAGCCGCAGTGAATTATAATGAATAGAAGACTCATAAAAGAAAACTACCCCCTGCTGTGAACAACCAGGAGAGAAGTTAACCATTACAAAATTGCAATTTTGCAGGAAATTATGTCACTGATACAGAAGTTATTGGTTAACTGTACTCCAGTCTCTGGATTAATGGAAAGAGCTGCTTTAGTGAACTATCATGTTCTAATATCATTCAAAGTTTGCCCATTCTAATTTTAAAAGTTTTTTTTTCAGGCTTACAAGACCATGACTAGCATAGGAAGTAGACAAGTTAATTAAGTCTGGGTACCCTAATGTTTTCTACCCATGTATACTGATTTCTAATTTAATGATAAACTAACTCCAGAAGTGTCAATGATTGCAAAACATAACACTTTTTAACCCTCAGTTCTATGAGCTATTTGATCATTTCCCAGTGACATTTTCAGATTTTGTAGTAAACCCAAAATGAATGTGAATTTGAAAAGCTCTTTTAAAAACATCTGTGTAAACAAATAAAAAGGCCTTAAGAACATTTAAGGTAAAATGCAGCAAATCTGTATCTAATAAGAACACAGCACACCCTTTACCCGGACTGATTTTCCCCATGAGAAATTTTAGCGTGAAGGAGACAAATGACGAAACAAGATAATATCAGGAATTTGCTCAAGTCCGAAGGAGAAGGACGGGAAGTAAGAAACTAAACACGGCATTACATTTATTCCATAATGCACATGTTTGTCACATCTTTATATCTCTGAAATCAGAATGTTCCTTACAGTCAAAACAAGTGCTCCTTACACTTGTCCTTGACCAGTTGGAGTATTTCAAGAGCAAGTAAGAAGCACCTGGCCATACAATTCTCTTTGTATCCCGCACATGAGCCAGGATATGTGCATGGTGAGTACCTCCTATGTAAACTTCCATCGACTACCTTTTTAAAATATCCTTTACCCAAGGATATATTTGGGATTTTTTAAATGTTTTTCATCTTTACTGTATTTTCGCATTACCATTTAGCCCCCTTACACTCCATTCCCACAGCAATCACTGCACTGCCGTCCATGTCCATGAGTCCTTTTTCCTTTTTGCTCAATCCCCCCACCCCAAACAGTCTTCCCTTGCTGTCACCCTGCTCTTCATCTATGAGTCTGTTCCCATTTTCCTTGTTAGTTCAGTTTGTTCATTATATTGCACATATGACTGAAGTTATATGGTATTCATCTTTCTCTGACTGGCTTATTTAATTTAGCATAGTGTTCTTCAGGTCCATCCATGCTTTTGCATAGTATAAAATTTTCTTCTTTCTTATGGCCAAGTAGTATTGTATTGTGTAAATGTTCCATAGTTGTTTTATCCACTCATCTGATGGACACTTGGGCTGCTTCCATATCTTGGTGATCATAAATAATGCTGCAATGAACATAAGTATGCTTATGTTCTTTCAAAAAAAGTGTTTTGGGTTCCTTCAGGTATATTCCCAGAAGTGGGATTGCTGGGTTGAAAGGCATATCCATTTTTAATTTTTTAAGCTAACTCCATACTGCTTTCCACAGTGGCTGCACCAGTCTGCATTCCCACCAACAGTGCAAAAGGGTTCCCCTTTCTCCACATCCTCACCAACACTTGTTGTTTATTGATTTAGTGAGGATAGCCATTCTAACAGGTGTGGGATGATATCTCACTGTGGTTTCAATTTGCATTTCTCTGACGATTAGTGACATTGAGCATCTTTTCATACATCTATTGGCCATCTGTATGTCCCCTTTGGAGAAGCGTCTATTCAGGTTCTTTGACCATTTTTTTAATAAAACTGTTTGGTTTTTTGGTGTTGACTTTTGTAAGTTCTTTGTAAATTTTGGATGTTAACACTTTATCAGATGTATTGGCAAATATATTCTCCCATTCTGTGGGTTGTCTTTTTATTTTGTTAATGATTTCCTTTGCTGTGCAAAAGCTTTTTAGTTTTATATAGTCCAATTTCATTATTTTTTGTTTTTTCCCTTGCCTGGGGAGATATACGTGATAAAATATTGCGATGAGCAAAGTCTGAGATTTTGCTGCCTATATTTTCTATAGTACTTATGGTTTAGGGAATAACATTTAAGTCTTTGATCCATTTTGAATTTATTCTTGAATGTGGTATAAGATGTTCCAGTTTCATTTTTCTGCATGTATCTGTCCAATTTTCCCAACACCGTTTGTTGAATAAACTATCTTTAGTCTATTGTATGTGTTTGCTTCTTCTGTTGACTATTAATTCACTATAAAGGCGTGGGTTTATTTCTGGATTCTCTGTTCTGTTCCATTGATCTGTGTGTCTGTTTTTACGCCAGTACCATGCTGTTTTGATTATTATGGCCTTAGTTTCATATTAGGTAGTGTGATTCCTCCAACTTTGTTCCTCTTTCTCAGGATAACTGTCATTATGTCAGGGCCTTTTGTGGTTCCATATAAATTTTTGAAATATTTGTTCTGGCGCTGTGAAATATGTCATTGGAATCTTGATGGGAATTGCATTGAATCTATAGATTGCTTTGGGTAGTAGAAACATTTCAATGATATTAATTCTTCCTAACCATGAACATGCTATTTGCTTCCACTAATTCGTATCATCTTCTATTTCTTTCTTCAGTGTCTTATAATTTTCCAAGCACAGGTCTTTTACATTCTTGGTTAAGTTTACTCATATTTTTGAAGGAATTGTGAATGGGATTATTTTCTTAATTTCCCTTTCTGTTAGTTTGTTGTTGGCATGTAAAAATGCAACTGATTTCTTCATATTAACATTGTATTTTGCTACTTTTCTGAATTCATTGATCAGGTCTAGTAGTTTCTTGCTGGAATCTTTGGGGTTCTCTATGTACAGTATAATGACAGTTTTACTTCTTTCTTGCCAATTTAGATGCCTTTTATTTCTTCTTCTTCTCTGATTGCTGTGGCTAAGACTTCCAGTATTATGTTGAACAAGAGAGGTGAAAGTGGACATCCCTATGTTGTTCTCGACCTTAAAGGGATCGCTCTAGTTTTTGCTCATTGAGTATGATACATGCAGAGGGTTTGTTATATGTGGTCTTTATTATATTTAGGTATGTTCCCTCTAATCCCACTTTGCTAAAAATTTTTATCATCAATGTTGCTGGATTTTATCACATGCTTTTTCTGTATATATTGATATGATCATTTGGCTCTTCTCCTTCATTTTGTTTATGTGGTAAATCACATTTGTTGATTTGTGAATGTTGGACCAAATTGGCATTCCCAAAATAAATCCCACTTGGCCATGGTGTATGATCCTTTTGATGAATTGCTGTATTCAGTTTACCAATATTTTGTTGAGGATTGTAGCATCTATGTTCAATCAGTATATTGGCCTATAACAAATGAAAATACGGATACAATAATCCCAAATCTGTGGGACACTGGGAAGCAATCCTAAGAGAGAAATCCATAGCATTACATGCCAATCTCAAAAAAGAAGAAATAGCTCAAATATACAATCTAACTTTACTCTTAAAAGAACTTGAAAAAGACTAACAAACCAAGCCCAAAGTAAGTAGAAGAAAGGAAATAATAAATATGAGAGCAGAAATAAATGAAATAAGGCCTAAAAAATGATACAAAAGATTAATGAATCCAAGAGCTGTTTCTCTGAAAAGATAAACAAGACTGGCAAACTTTTAACCAGGCTCTTCAAGGGAAAAAAAAGAGAAACGACCCAAATGAATAAAATCAGAAGTGAAAGAGGAGAAATAACAACTGACACCAGAGAAATACAAAAGATTATAAGAAAATATTCTGAACAACTACATGCCAAGAAATTGCACAACCTGGGCAAAATGGATAAATTTCTAAAAATGTACATTTTTTCAAAGCTAAATAAGGAAGAATCAGAGAACATGACTACATAGATACACCTAGTGAAATTGAAGTGGTAATAAAAAAAACTCCCAACAAACAAAACCCCTGGACCAGTTGGCTTCACAGGTGAATGTTACCAAACATTCCAAAGACTAACACCTCTCCTTCTCAAACTGTTTCATAAAATTCAAGAGGAGGGAAGGCTCCCAGACTTTTTACATGGCCACCATTATCCGAATTCCAAAACCAGAAAAAGACACTGCAAAGAAAGAAAATTATAGTTCATTGACTTCTAAAATAAAACTTTCCTGGTGTTGAGTCATATGGGACAACTGTAATAGAATAACAATACAAAATTTTAAAGGTTAAATTAGAGTTAATAAAATAAAATAAAACAATTCTTAAAGATTATACCATGACTTAGCATTGAAACAAAGATCAGTTTTAGGGATGCCTTAACCAATATTTTGTCTACATTTTTTCATTTATGTACATGAATGTGATATGATGAAAGCCGGTGTCTAAGTAAGTTGAAAAGAGCACTTTTAATAAGTATATTGCGTAAGAAGTCCGACGATTTGTACATTTTTTTTTTAGGTAGGTAAAAAATTCTATAAGGTCCTCTTTTTTTTTCCCCAATTTCCAAAGAAAGGGAAGCCGATTTACATTTTATACTTATTAAAGAAAATGTGTTATCATTTATTTCCATTTTTTCTTTGTTCAGGGTACATAACACAATGGTGCATTTGTAATCAGAGATAGATTGGAAGTAGTAGTATCACTCTAGTTTGTAGTGTCAGTATTCATAAATCTGTCCCACAGCATTGTATCGACAGCTGGGAACCTCCCCCAACACACACACGCACTGACTTGGTCTCCCCCGACAAGTCTACGCCCCAGCTGCCACCATTATTTCTCCATCTCCAAATCAGAGTCTCCCAGGAAAGGAGGAGGCAAAGCCAGAGGCTGCTGTGTCAGGATCCAGCCACCAACTTCCACTCTCACAGCCAAGTTTGATTGTCAGGTATTATGGAAATCAAAAGTTTACTTTGTGGAAAAACTAGCACCAGGATATTAACCAATAAACTATTACATTTAGGATCACAACCAGATTACCAAAGATTGATTTGGTAATCTTTGATTTATTGATTTATTGTTGTAGAAAAGATTTTGATTGATTTATTG